CAACAAGCCCTTATACCTTTGAATTGAATTTATTTGTATATTTATCTCCTCCCCCATTTAACTAAGGGTAGGCAACGTGTCTTTTTTTTTTTTTTTTTTTTTTGAGATGAAGGAGTCTCACTCTGTCACCCAGGCTAGAGTGCAGTGTCTCGAGTGTCTCGATCTAGGCTCACTGCAACCTCTGCCTCCTGGGTTCCAGCGATTCTCCCACCTCAGCCTCCCAGGTAGCTGGGACTACAGGGGCGTGACACCATGACCGGCTAATTTTGTATTTTTAGTAGAGACAGGGTTTCACCATGTTGGCCAGGCTGGTTTCGATCTCTTGACGTCAGTTGATGCACCTACCTCAGCTTCCCAAAGTGCTGGGATTACAGGCGTGAGCCACCACACCTGGCCAGCAACGTGTCTTAATCTTTACAATTCCCTAAGCCCAGTAGAGAGCCCAGAAAAGATTTGACAACTCAATTATATTAACTAATCTTCCAAAGAACAAACCACTAAACCATTTTGGTTTGTTAATCAAAAATTACATTTAAGGCCTGATGCAATGGCTTAGGTTTTATAATCCCAGCGTTTTGGGAGGCCCAGGCAGGAGGATCAACTCAGGCTAGGAGTTTGAGAACAGCCTGGATAACACAGCCAGACTCCGTCTCTACAAAATTTTATTGTTTGAGACAGGGTGTTGCTCTTTTGCCCAGACTGGAGTGCAGTGGCCTGATCTCGGCTCACTGCAATCTCCACCTCTAGGGTTCAAGCAATCCTCCTGCCTCAGCCTCCTGAGTAGCTGGGGCTATAGGTGCATGCCACCAAGCCCGGCTAATTTGTTTTTAATTTTTTGATGTGAGAGGATGAATTGAGCGCAGGAGTTCGAGACCAGCATAGGCAATATAGTGAGACCCCATCTCTGAAAAAAAAAAAGTCTCAAAGTATTGGGATTACAGGTGTGAGCCATCACATCAGCTGGATATTTGATATTAAATAATTTTTTTAGGCATGATAATAGTGTTAAAGTTGTCATCATTATAAAAGGAATCTTTATTAAGGGTTATATGTTATATTCATAGACAAAAAAAGTATATGAAGTTTGGGATTTAATCCTTTGGAAGAAACAAATTGTTTTGTTTTTTGAGACAGGGTGTTAAATAAAACAAAAGAGACAAGGTCTCACTGGGCTGGAGTGCAGCAGTGGTGCAATCATATATAGCTCATTGCAACCTCAAACTCTGGGCCTCCCATCTCAGCCTCCAAAAGCTGGGATTACAGGCTTGAGCCACTGCACCCAGCCACACTGGCCTTTTATGTTGATAATTATTGAAGCTGGGTTATGTGTACACAGTGGTTCACCATACTACTCTACTTTTGGTTTGGAAATTTCCATAATGAAAAATAAAGGCCAGCTGGGCATGGTGGCTCACACCTGTAATACCAGCACTTTGAGAGGCCGAGGTGGGCAGATCACTTGAGGTAGGGAGTTCGAGACCAGCCTGGATACCCCCGTTGCAACAAAAAAATACAAAAATTAGCTGGTTGTGATGGTGCAGGCCTGTAGTCCCAGTTACTTGAAAGGTTAAGGTAGGACAGTCGCCTGAGCCCAGAAGGTAAAGGCTGCAGTGAGCTGGGATTGCTCTGGGTGATAGAACAAGACTAAAATAAAGAAAACCAAGGCTGGACAATCCCAGCACTTTGGGAGGCCGAAGCAGATGGATCACGAATTCAGGAGATCGAGAAGATATTGGCCAACATGGTGAAACCCCTTCCTACTAAAAATACAAAAATTAGCCAGGCATTGTGGCGGGTGCCTATAGTCCCAGCTACTCTGGAGGCTGAAGCAGCAGAATCCCTTGAATACGGGAGGTGAAGGTTGCAGTGAGCCAAGATCGTGCTATTGTACTCCAGCCTGGGCGACAAGAGTGAAACTCCATCTCAAAAAAAGAAAAAAAGAAAAACTAATAAAGAATGAGACTTCATCTCTGAATACTTTTCAGAATAGCTGAGATTGACATGCTTAAGAGTAAAATGTCAGACCAGATGATGATTTCCAACTTTATTATCCTATGATTTTAATTTCTCTTTTAGTTAGAAGTTTTATACTAACAGACCCTACTTGTATCTGAATATAAATTAGAGGATATAGCTAGAGAATAAGCGCTAGTCGCTGCTCACCGCTAGAGGGACCCTCTGATCATAAGAGGATTATCTACACCACCCCACTCAGTAGTTGAGTACACTCTGAGTGACAAGGTCAGGGAAGCAGAACATTTATGCCTAAAACATGTTAACCTCCAATTTCTATTAGAGAAAAAAGTGTTCTCCTTATTCAGACAAAAGGAGGACTGGCTGGGGCTGTGGGAAAATCAAATTCAAAACTTTGAGAATCTGGGCTGGGTGTGGTGGCTCACGCCTGTAATCCCAGCACTTTGGGAGGCCGAGGCGGGCAAATCACTTGAGGCCAGGAGTTTGAGACCAACCTGGCAAACATGGTGAAACTGTCTCAAAAAAAAAAAAAAGAAAGAAAAAGAAAAAGAAACTTTGAGAATCCCCATTCCTCTTCCAATCCAAGTACGTGCCTTTCCTTTTTTTTTTTTTTTTTTTGAGCCAGTGTGTCCCTCTGTTGCCAGGGTGGAATGCAATGAATGGTGCAATCTCAGCCACTGCAACCTCTGCCTCCCGGGTTCAAGTGATTCTCCTGTCTCAGCCTCCCAAGTAGCTGGGATTACAGGCACCTGCCACCATGCCTGGCTAATTTTTTTTTTTTGAGAAGGAGTTTCACTCTTGTTGCCCAGGCTGGAGTACAATGGCTCAATCTTGGCTCACCGCAACCTCTGCCTCTCAGGTTCAAGAGATTGTCTTGACTCAGCATCCTAAGTAGCTGGGATTACAGGCGTGCACCCACCACGCCCGGCTAATTTTTTCTATTTTTAGTAAAGACAGGTTTTCTCCATGTTGGTCATGTTGGTTCTCCATGTTGGTCAAACTCCCAACCTCAGGTGATCTGCTCGCCTCGTCATCCCAAAGTGCTGGGATTACGAGTGTGACCCACCACACCTGGCCTAATTTTTGTATTTTTAGTAGAGATGGGGTTTCACATTGTTGACCGGGCTGCTCTTTAACTCTTGGCCTCAAGTGATCCACTTGCCTTGGCCTCCCAAAGTGCTGGGATTACAGATGTGAGCCACTGGACCCGGCCAATCCTCTATTAATTCTGATGAAACTTTGTTAGTCTCTCAATTATTTTGTATCACATCCTATTAGGGACAAAAAATATTTCAGGGTTCCCAATATTGCCTCTAACTATACCTATTCCAATATTCTCACCATGATCTCTTCCTTGTTCTCAAAAACAGGCCATTCTCGTGCATCTAGTCCTTGTGCTGGAAGTGAAACATTCTCTAACACTTTTATCCCACATAACTGTCAATTTTTCCCCCTTTTATGTTCTGTGCCACCTTCAGATAGCTTAAGTAGCTGTCTCACATATAATACATTGTTTTCGTGTATTTGTGTTCCTCCCGGAAACTAGAAACCCTTGAAGGACAATTATTTCTTTGATCTCCAACTACTCCATGCGTTGCAATCTCTATGATCTTCTAAGAGTGACACTCTAGGGCCAGGTCAAGGGAATGAAAGGGAGGGAATCACTAAGGCCAGCAACCTCAAACTTACTTTTCCCACTGTCCCTCTCCTTTCTTCTTAAACCTGAGTAAAATGAGTTTTGAATCTCCAAATCCCTGTTAAACTGGGTTGCAACCTAGGCAAGAGACCTACAGTAATTCCCCTCATATTCATTCACTGCTTTTCCTTGTGAAGACAATAGGGTTGCTGAGGAAGAGGACATACGGACATAAAGCCTTAAGAGTGAAGCTGCAGTGTTGCAAGCTGGGAAGTATGCAGCCTTTGTTTAGGGTAACACGAACAAAACTGAGCCTGGGTGGTGGAGTAGGAGGGTGAGCAGATGGTATATGAAAAAGAATCAGAAGAAATAAGAGATCTAAATAACCGATTAAAGTTTATTACATTAAAACCATGTATCACTTTTATATTGTATTTGCCATTTCTGAACAATACAAAGTAAAGGCAAATAGTGACACTTCATAAAAATGTTGATTCCCCATTCCTTTCCCTAAGACCCAGCCCTCCCTTAAATATTCCCTCCCACCCCTAACAGAACTGTGTCCTTAATAAAACACTTAAATACATCATAAATAGTAAATTATGAAAAAAAATAGCAAGAACTCTTTCCTTCTTGTAAAAAAGAACATGGCAGCAAAGACAGGCAGCCAGAAACTGGCTGGGGGTGTCTAATATAGACAGTTATTTGGGGTATGGGCTAACATATTATCAAGGCAGGGTGGGATAGAGAAGGGATAGAACAAGAATTCAACAATCTGCCTGAGATACCAGGCCCTCTTCTTCCCCTGACAAGAGTGGAAGAATCAGATGGAAAACCACAACTCTTGTAGATGGGGAGGAGAGGGCATATGTAGCCCCCATTTCCAACTTCCCTGCATGAAGACAGGGGGGTAGGACATATGGCACAGCAATGACCTCACCAAGGCAAGAATCTGCTGTCTCCCCATGAGTTTAAGAAAATATTTACTGGTCTCATAGATACGGACTGCCTGATAAAACAGACAGGTGTCCCCTCTTCACCTTAGCTCCACAAACAGGAGAACACTGTTGGAAAAGATGAGAAGAGCAAAAAAATCTCCTTTGGAGAATGATCTAAAATTCATTTAGTAAGTCTTCACATTTAGAAAATCAACCAGAATATATTTCAAATTGCAAAATAGTAATAATTATTATAGCTTGGCAGTGAACAGGATTCTGCCTAGGAAGGGCTATGATCTCCCAGCCCATGGCTGCCTCCTGTTTTAACAAAAGGGGTAAAGATTACCCCATGTCCCACTCTCCATTCCTTCAGCCTTAAGAAATTCATCAAGAAAGGAGGGGCTTAAAGAGGAGCTGCTTCTGGCAGAGCAATCACTACTCTTCTCTTCACAAACACCATGGCTCTTCTGAGGGAACCCTACGAATAGGCATCTTGTCAACACTTCTGGAGTTTTGATCTGAAGCTGGCTTGAAACCGTGTGCTGTGCGCTTTTTCCTTTTTTCAGGAAAAAAAAAAAAAAAAGAACGCTGGGAGGTGGTTAAACTCCCTTATCCCCCCAAAAACCTTTACAGAGATTACAGGGGTATTCTTCCAGGGATCAGGGAGAAAGAACTAAGGTGGAGATAATGTGCCAGCTAGTCTGTCCTGAGGAAACTAAGAGTCCAGTTCCTGGTCAAAGATGAGGGGAAAGAAAACTGCCAAGTACAGCAATCCCATTTCCAGCATGAAGAATGGGGGTCTGAAAAAAATTCAATTGTGGAGGCCAAGGGTTAGCCAGTTGAAAATCCGTACCACCCAACTCTGGAGTGGAGGGGATGCTTCGGTCCTCAACTGTCTGAGGCACTAATGCCCATTCATGAGGAAGGGGAAGGAGAGGAGGTTCTTCTTCAGTAAGAAGATGGAGGAGGAGCTCCCCTCGCTTCTATTACACTCCTTTTTTGATGACCAAGTAGAAGAAAATTCAGCATTGCTGGGGCAAGGGCTGACACATCTCGGGATCACAGAGATGGCAGAATCTTGTTCCAGGTCTTCTGAGGCTTTGCGCTTACTGTAAAAGGAGAGTGTAAAGTTAAGGATGTGGAGTATGAGATTAAGCAGGAATGGATTTCAAGCGTTAAGAAGTTTCTATTTCAGCTTCAGCTTCCAAAGATATTTTTTAAAAAACAAGATGGCGGCCGAGCGCGGTAGCTCATGCCTGTAATCCCAGCACTTTGAGAGGCCACTGCACTCCACAGAGCGAGACTCAGTCTCAAAAAAACAAAACAAAACAAAAACAAAAACAAAACAAACATGATGGTTGGGTGCAATGGCTCACACCTGTGATCACGACACCAGAAGTTCGAGACCAGACTGTCCAATATGGTGAAACCGTGCCCCTACTAAAAAATACAAAAATTAGCCAGGCATGGTGATGTGCGCCTGTAGTCCCAGCTACTCCAGAGGCTGAGGCAGGAGAACTGCTTGAACCCAGGAAGCGGAGGTTGCAGTGAGCCAAGATTGCACCATTGCACTCCAGCCTGGGCAACAGAGTGAGACTCCATCTCAAAAAAATATATAAATAAATAAAAATAAAAACAAAATAAAAAATAAAAAACAAGATTTAGGAGGTACCCAGGTCCTCTAATCTTGCCAATTAACTTCCTGCTCCAGGCCATGAGTGATCCTCTTTATACCCTGCAAAACGTTCACCTCCCACACATCCCAGACACTCACATGGGTGAACTCTGACTCTGCAACTTCAAGCTTTTCCAAGGTTGTACTAACAGGCGAAAAAAAAAACAGAAGCAGAGAGAAAAAGAATTAGAAGACAACAACAAAGGACTCCCCTCTTAAATCTCATACTGCTTCTCTAATTTTCACTTCAGAATCAATTTAGAATTTGGAAAGAAGAGGCTAAGAAGCTACTAGATTTTGAAGCATACTGTTTTATTTTTTTTTGAGACAGAGTCTCGCTTTGTCACCCAGGCTGGAGTGCAGTGGCACGATCTCTGCTCACTGCAAGCTCCGCCAGGGTTCACGCCATTCTCCTGCCTCAGCCTCCTGAGTAGCTGGGACTACAGGCATCCACCACCACACCCAGCTAATTTTTTTTTGTATTTTTAATAGAGTCGGGGTTTCACCATGTTAGCCAAGATGGTCTCGATCCCCTGACCTTGTGATCCGCCCGCCTCGGCCTCCCAAAGTGCTGGGATTAAAGGCGTGAGCCACAGCTCCCGGCAAAGCACACTGTTTTAATTAACTATATTTGGCTTCTTGAATACTATAAAACATTTCCCAGTACTCTGCCCTCTTCTGTTTCAATCTCCAGATGTGGTAGGTACTCTCTAAGATTCCCCCCAGTAATCCCTGCCTCCTGAGATCCATGCCATTGTGTAATTCTCTCCCCTCTCAAGTGTAGGCTGCACTTAGTGATTCTCTTCTGGACAGAATGCGGCACAGGAGATGGAATGTCAATTCGGAGATGAGATTATAAAAATATCATAGCTTCTTCTTGGACTCATGCTCTAACCCCTGCTTGCCTGCTCTAAGGAAATTCAGCTCCTATGCTAAGAGCTGGCTATGGAGAGGGCGATGTGACAAAGGAACCGAATACTGCCAACAACCATGTAAGTGAGCTGAGAACCTGATCTTCCCTCAGATAAGCTTCTGGACTAATAGCTTGACTGTAATCTCCAGAGAGAACCCGAGCCAAAGACATCCAGCTAAGGTACAGAAACTGGGATAACAAATTTTTGTTTTCTTTTTTTTTGAGACGGATGTCACTGTTGCCCAGGCTGAAGTACAGTGGCACGATTATGGCTCACTGCAACCTCTGCCTCCCGGGTTCAAGCAATTCTCTCACCTCAGCCTCCTGAGTATCTGGGATTATAGGCACGCATCACCACGCCTGGCTAATTTTTACATTTTTAGTAGAGACAGGGTTTCACCACGTTGGCCAGGCTGGTCTCGAACTCCTGGCCTCAGGTGATCCGCCCTCCTTGGCCTCCCAAAGTGCTAGGATTACAGGTGTGAGCCACCACACTTGGACTGAGATAACAAATGTTTGTTTTTGACAGCTAAGTCTGGGGTAATTTGTTACACAATAATAGATAATACAGATTTTTGCACCTGGAATTGAGGTGCTGCTTTAACAAAAATCTAAAATTTGGGGGTGGTGGCCCAGTGCGGTGGCTCATGCCTGCAATCCCAGCACTTTGGGAGCCTGAGGCAGGCAGATCACCTGAGGCCATGAGCTCAAGACCAGCCTGAGGAACATGGCAAAACCCCGTCTCTATCAAAAATACAAAAATTAGCCAGGCATGATGGTGCATGCTTATAATCCCAGGTACTCGGGAGGCTGAGGTAGGAGAATCACTTGAATCTGGGAGGTGGAAGTTGCAATAAACCAAGATAGTGCCACTACATTCTAGCCTGGGGGACAGAGGGAGACCCTGTCAGCGGAGATTGCAGTGAGCCAAGATCGTGCCACTGAACTCCAGCCCGGGCAACAGAGTGAGACTCCATCTCAAAAAACAAAAACAAAACAAAACAAAACAAAACAAAACATTGGGGGTGGCTTGGAGGAGCATTTTAGTGAACAGTTAGTGTCCTGAATATGCTGTTTATAGAATTTTGGACTTAAATGGGGTTACCAGTGAGGGCTTAAACTGAGAAAAATTTTATTGGAAATTGAAGGAAAGGAGATCCTAGTAAGGTAGCAGCATAAAGTTTAGCAACAATGTGATTTGTGATTATGTGAAAAGTAGAATATGTGCCTAAAGAATTGGACAATCTAGCTAAGGAGATTTCCAAGCAAAGTCCTGAAGGTGCCACCTGGTTTTCTCTTGATGCTTATAGTACAATGTAAGAGAACAGAAAGAAATTATGGGAAGGACTATTAAACAAAAATACCAGAACTTGATAGGTTTTGAAAATTCTAAGCCTCTCCAGAGAGCAAACGATGCTAAAATTAAGAAATGATAGGCCACATACTGTGGCTCACTTTAGGAGGCAGAGGGAGGAGGACTGTTTAAGACTAGCCTGGTTAACACACTGAGACATCATGTCTACCCCCCCCCCAAAAAAAAAAAAGGCTTTTGAGCAAGGATAAGCTCCAGGGCACTGCCAAGAAAATGTGGTCTAAAGATGAAGCCAAACGTGACTGTGAAACATTTCAATAAGACCTCAGAAAAACAAAAGGTATTGGTTCAGAGTATAGTCAGCCCTCAGTATCTGTGGGGAACTGGTTCCAGAACCTCTCCTTGAATATCAAAATCCACAAGCACAAGTCCCTTACATAGAATGGTATAGTATTTGCATATAACTTATGCACATCCTTCATATACTTTATTTTTATTTATTTATTTTTTTGAGAAAGGGTCTCGCTCTGTCACCCAGGCTGGAGTCCAGCGGCACGATTTCAGCTCACTGCAACCTCTGCCTCCTGGGTTCAAGCGATCCTCCTGCCTCAGCCTCCTGAGTAACTGGGACTACAGGCACATACCACCACGCCTACCTAATTTTTTTATATTTTTGGTAGAGACGGGATTTCACCATGTTGCTCAGGCTGATCTTAAACTTCTAGGCTCAAGTAATCTGGCCGCCTCTATCTCCCACAAGTGTTGGGATTACAGGTGTGAGCCATCACGCCTGGCCCTCCATATACTTTAAATCATTCCTAGATTATTTATAATAACTAATGCAATGGAAATACTATGTAAATAGCTGTTATACTGCATTGTTCAGGGAATAATGACAAGAAAATTCTGTACATGTTAAGTACAGACACAACCATTGTAGGCCTAATTGTACAGTACATGTCAGCAACAACATAACATTTTCAGAATTTTTTTTTTTTAATATTTTTTCTTTTCTTTTTTTTTCTTTTTTTTTTAAGGGACGGGGGTCTCATTTTATTGACCAGGTTGGTCTCAAACTGCCTCAAGCAATCCTCCCACCTCAGCCTCCCAAATGGTGGGATTATAGGCACGAGTCACCATACCAGGCTCTCAAGTATTTTCAGTCCACAGTTGGTTGAATCTGGGATGTGGAACCTGTGGATATGGAGGGCTGATTGCGCTATTCAGTCATACAAAAGGCTGTTCAAAAGATTATGTCTCACAGATCCTTTCAACCGAAAAGCAGGGTCTGTAAGCTTAGGTCTCATGAAGAAGATATTTATGAGTGTGGCTTTTGTCTAATGGAGTAAATCCCAAAGAGAATCACAGGAGGCTCGGCCGGGCACGGTGGCTCAAGCCTGTAATCCCAGCACTTTGGGAGGCCGAGACAGGCGGATCACAAGGTCAGGAGATCGAGACCATCCTGGCTAACATGGTGAAACCCCGTTTCTACTAAAAAGTACAAAAAACTAGCCGGGCGAGGTGGCGGGCGCCTGTAGTCCCAGCTACTTGGGAGGCTGAGGCAGGATAATGGCGCGAACCCGGGAGGCGGAGCTTGCAGTAAGCTGAGATCGTGCCACTGCACTGTAGCCTGGGCAACAGAGCGAGACTCTGTCTCAAAAAAAAAAAAAAGAGAATCACAGGAGGCCCACAAAATCTTCTGTATCAGTAGAAACACTGCCACCTTGGATCAAAAAAGACAAACAGTACAAAATAAAGAGACCACTAGTTCCCCCAAAATTCTACTGGAAAGAAGCAGGCTGAGAAAAGAACTCAGGTAAAAATACACTCTAGCTTTGATGAAAAAGGAAGACTCAAAAGACAAAACCAAGAGTCTAGAGGGTAGAGCCAAGAACCATGGAGAATTATTCTGCTTTGAGGCCTAATAAAAGAAACTCCAACATTTCCTGGATTTTGGAACAGCTAATAAAATCAATGACTCCTTTTTGTGCCTCCCATTCTCCTCTTTTATGTACAGAAATGTGTATATTGGTTATCTAATGCCTGTCTCACCACTGTATGCTAGGTACACAGGGGAAGAATAACTGTCTCTTTAGTTCCACAAGTTCACAGATTGAGAAGAACTGTACGTGAGGAGCTCTGCTTAAGGAACTATACCTGGGGGGCTCATCCAAACCTGGACCTAATTTAAGTAATAAAACTCTGGACTTTGAGCTAATGCTACAATGGGATGAAACTTCTGGAGATCCTGGAAGGGGTCAGTTTATTTTGGACATGGAGGTATGTAAATTACTGGAGACCAGAGGGCAGATGATCCCTGCGCCTCCTGGTATTCACACCTCTGGGTAATCCCTACCTCTTGAGTGTGGGCTGCATTTAGTGAACAGAATATAGCACAAGTAGTAGAATGTCAATTCTGAGGTTAACTTATAAGAGGCTATGGTTTCTGCATAGGCACATACTCTCTTGTTCACTGTCAGATAGGCCAGGTGCCATGTTCTGAGCTGTCCTATGGAGAAGTCCATGTAGCAAAGAACTGAGGGAAGCCCCCAGACAACAGCCAGCAAGGAACTAAGGCCTTCAGTTCAGCAACCCACAAGGAACGAAATCCTACCCATAACCACATAAATAAGCTTAGAAGCAGATTCTCCTATTTGAGCCTTCAGATGAGACCCTAGCCCTGGCCAACAGCTTAAATGCCACCTCATGAGAGATCTTGAGCCAGAGGACCCAGCTAAGCTGGGCCTGGATTCCTGACCCACAGAAAGTATGATATATGTTTGTTATTTTAAGCCACTAACCCTTGGGGTAATTTATTACGATGCAATCATATTATAGAGGTTTCCAAGGACTTGAAAAGAGAGATAAGATTATATGGAGAAAGGGGCCAATAAACAAACCTTGTAGTTAGCATTTGCAAAGTCTCTCCAACTATAGGTGAGAAACTGGGGTCAGGAATAGGTGAGCCCTCACTGATTTCCTCCAAAGGTGGAGTCTGAGGTAAAACATCAGGACGACCAAGGTGAACGCCTAGAAAAAAGAAAGAGAAGATGGGGTACGGTAAATACAAGGAAAAATATGTAGCAGCTTGGCTTCCTGGATAGAAACGGGAGCAGAGGTCCTAGCCGGACAAGGTAAAGGCTCAGAAGGAAGGGAAGGAGCACCCAATCACGTGGAGACCCCAGCCATAGTGCTGACCTGGCTCCACTTCCGCCTTTGTTGTCACTTGTGCCTTGTGTTCCCCAGAGACCGATGGTTGGTAAGTAATGCAGGAGTTGCCACTGGAGCCTACTCGCCGAGAGAAAGATGAGCCAGACCGAAACTTTTTGGAGGGAGAAGGCTTCACTTCAAAAGGGAAAGAGAGAGCCTACTTAGCAACCACCTTAGCAACCATTACCAAGACATCCATACAAGTAATTGCTAGTATCCCCAACACACACCCAAAGTTGGTCTGAAAAGTGAAAAAGCTAATGTCAACAAAGATGGGCTCTATGAACTACTATTCAGAGAACAAGGTGTTAGCTCACTTCACTTTCCAAGAGGCATAAAACCTAGAAGAAAGGAAACATATCCACACCTACCCCTCCAACATGGAGCCTTGACAGCTGCTCTACTTCCATCAGATGAAACGTACCCTAATGCATTATTCCTTTTTTTTGAGATGGAGTTTTGCTCGTTTGCCTATGCTGGAGTGCAATAGCGCGATCTTGGCTCACTGCAACCTCCGCCTCCAGGGTTCAAGTGATTCTCATGCCTCAGCCCCCTGGGTAGCTAGGATTACAGGCATGCGCCACTATGCCTAGCTAATTTTGTATTTTTAGTAGAGACGGGGTTTCACCATATTGGTCAGGCTGGTCTCGAACTCCTGACCTCAGGTGGTCTACCCACCTCTGCCTCCCAAAGTGCTGGGATTACAGGTGTGTGCCACTTCCCCCGCCCACTTTTTCTTTTCCTTTTTCTTTTTGAGATGGAGTCTCACTCTGTCGCCCAGGCTGGAGTGCAGTGGCGCGATCTCGGCTCACTGCAAGCTCCGCCTCCCGGGTTCACGCCATTCTCCTACCTCAGCCTCCC